GGGTCTTAAATTCTATTCCCTAAAGCTTGAAGGGACTGTGTCAACACCGGGATGAAAATCCCGTTCTAGGTCAGCCTCGGGTCAGCCTCAGAGGGGAGAATTTCCAAACTAGGCCCCCTCTATCCCCTCAGCAGGAAAGGGGGGGCGGGGGAGAGAGAAAACAAACCAAGGAAACAAAACCACTTTTCCAAATTCCTTTACCTGCGGACAACCCTTTCACACTGTAAGTGGAGAATGGCCTACAAGGCAGGTTCTGTGTTAGAATATGGGGATGAACAGATTTCAACAACAGGACCGGTGATCACTTTCTAGCATTGATGAGAAGTCAAAGGCACACAGTGTGATGGCCCTGGACAAGGCTGGGAGGGAGGTACTGGCTGAGGCAGCAAATCCAGGAGCCACATTCTGAAATTTAGGTTTTCTTTCTCTCCTCCCCAAAAAGGCAAAGTTTTTTATGGCCTCCCCAGGAGCCCGCACCAACTTAGCAAGAATTCTTATCCTGGTCATCATCTCTAACTTCTGGCAACCAAGGAGGAAAGCACTTCATCCCGAAGCCCTCCTTGGGGCATGAGTGCCTGTGGATCCAGGATGCCGTATAAAGACACTGAATTAGCTTCACCCAACCCAGGATTTCTCAACCTCATTTGATCAGGAATGGTTTTTCCTGTTAGATGGGTTCTCCTGTTCATCACGCCACCACAGACGCCATGGTGATTGCTGACAGCACGGCCGTTTCCTTCCCCATGGACCAAGGTGCTCTGGCTCAGGGAAGCCTGTCCTCCATCCTTTCATTGCCAACCCCAAGAACACGGGGCCCCTGCAGGTCTGTGAGTGCGGGGCCGGCCAGTGGGTTGATCGGCTGAATAATGAATGTCAGAGAGATGGAAAGAAAGGCTGAGTGCAAGGTGCTGTGTGGCCCAGGGAGGAGAACAATGGGAAAGGCCAGGGCAGGGTAAGTTTATCATAAACTTCAGAGCAGGTCTAGTTCATGTCCCACTTAAACTGAAAGAGCAGGGCAGCCCTCTCACTGCAGAAGAGGCAGGCATGTCCTAGTCCAGGCATCTGGAGCTCCGAAGCGACAAAAAGCAGGTCTCTAGTGAGTCCGTAGCATCTCATCTGCAGTCTGAGCATGCTTACCGGGACATCTCAGCAGGTATCAATTCCTAGCAGGTTATGGCAGCTAAGAGGAAGGTCAAAGGCCAAAACAGGGCATGTTCCTAAACAGTTTCCAATTATAACCGTTAGTGGGCTGGGTCACATTTATAGGAGATAATAAAGTGATAAGAAGTTATTCATAGAGGTACAGATGTAGGAGAAAAACATTAATAGTTGGATTTCAACCCAGCAAGCCTTTAAAGAATGTTTTTTTAATCGACCATCTGTTTTAGGATCCTGATCAACTAATTCCACCCACTGCATAATCCCTAAAGCAGAACTAGCAAGAAACAACATCTGCTGGGTACAGCAGGGTGACATATAACATTTTTGTTTTTACAAAACTTGAGTTCAAAAAGAATCTTCGAAATTAAAATTAACATTGAAGGACCTGGATGAGTGCCCACTGCTGCCAGAATAGACAGAACAGGCCACTCAGGAGCTTTTTTGCCAAAGACCCAGGGGTTCGCTTTTCCTAAAGCTGATCGGGGCCGAAGTAAGAGTTAAACTCAATACTGAATGCTTTTTTCTATCTATTCCCTACTTCTGGGAACAAAAGTTCCTTATAGGTACCTGAAATTTAAATTAATAGCTCAGGAAGAACAGTTAAAGAATTAATGTAATTAGGCCGAAACTGGTTTGGCTCAGTGGTAGAGCGTCGGCTTAGGGACTGAAAGGTCCTGGGTTCGATTCCGGTCAAGGGCATGTACCTTGGTTGCGGGTACATCTCCGGTAGGGGGTGTGCAAGAGGCAGCTGGTCGATGTTACTCTCTCATCGACGTTTCTAGCTCTCTATCTCTCTCCCTTCCTCTCCGTAAAAAATCAATAAAATATATTAAAAAAAAAAAGAATTAATGTAATTAAAGAGGCTTTGGTGTTTTTTATCACTGTTTCTGTATTTCTTTCACAATCTAACCTTTGCTGCTATCACAAACCTGTTTATTATAGTAGATAAGCTGCAGGCTGCTCATACCCACACCAGAATCATCATGTCCCCGCAAGTTCGCCTTCCAAAAATAGATTGACTTCTGGTAATAATGAGGTAAATGTTGGGGGTTCCGGTATACCATCTTAGTTTTCCCAGGGCTGAGGGGTTTCTCAGGTGCTGAACCTGGGAGAACCCTGGGCAAACTGGGACAGAGTTGGTTACTCTGATGGCTATATGACACTGTCATAAGTGGGGTGTTTTTTGCCAGAAAAGTTATTCTTCATTAAAAACATGATTTAAACAGGATTATTTTTCATTGCTGAATCACTCAATAGCTACAGCAAATTATTACATGCAAATCACTTCAAATTCAGTAAATTACTATCATGTGATTGTGCAGCGACTCTACATTCTTATTGTACTTGGAACACTTGCAGTTTTCCTTAAAAATGCACTTACTACTTTTCTGGAGATGTATTTTTTATTTTTATATTTTCTAAAATCAATGAAAAGCTTATAAAATAACTGAGTGGTTATTCTAAGGAAAGGTGTTTCCTGTGTTTCTTACTGTAAACTAGCAGGAGGAACTGTGGTTTGGCTGGTTTCCACCTGTGCGTGTGCTGTGGCCTCTGGTCGGGTATCAAAGCCTCTCATGGTTGCCGGGCACTGAACTGACCAAGGAGGGGCAGGCACTCACCCTCCACTCAGCTCATCTGCAGACTGAGGTGAACCAGCCGTGAAGGGAGTTCCGCTCCATCCGATTTCCACCCCATAGAGCGGAGGGTCCCTCCACATTCCTTCTCTATCCACTCGTCCACTCAAGATAAAGAGAAGAGCTGCTCTAGCCAGTTTGGCTCAGTGGATAGAGCGTTGGCCTGTGGACTGAAGGGTCTCGGGTTTGATTCCAGTCAAGGGCACTGAGCCAGGGTTGTGGGCTCAGTCCCAAGTAGGGGGCGTGCAGGAGGCAGCTCATCCATGATTCTCTCTCATCATTGATGTTTCTATGTCTCTCCTTCTCCCTTCCTCTCTGAAATAAATAAAAAGTGTAAAAAAATAAGAATTTCTTTTAAAAAGAGAGAGGAAGAGAGAAGAAGGAGTAAGATGAGGAGGAAGAGGACAAGAAGGAGGAGGAGGGAAGAGGAGAAGGAAGAGAAGAAGGAGGAGGGAGGAGGAGTAGGAAGAAAAGGAGGAAGAGGGAGGAGAAGAAGAAAGAGCTAAGCTAGCCAGTAAACACTACCTGGCTGTTTCTCCACACGCCAGGACGGCTCCCATTCTGGTCGGAGTCACCAGCAACTGAGGCCTGGACTGCGACCTGTGCCCTGTCTCCCTTCAGACTGTTCTTCACTAGTTAGAATGATCCTGTTGAAACTCTAATCGTGTCACTACTTTGCTCAAACTCTTCAAAAACTAATGATCTCACACAGAGACCATAAACTCTCACGTCATTGCAAGGGTCTGCCCACCCTTCTCTCTGACCTTGATCTCATGAGTAACATTCAATGAACACTTGCCACTGTCCCTCTCTCCAAGCCGCCTCCACAGCAGAGCCCATCTCAGTCACGCTGGCTCAGCCACATTCACACTTGCTCCATCCTTCCTGCTCCCAGGAAACAGGACAGTAGGTCCCGCTGCCTCCGTCTGATGTCAAGGTCTGTCCTCCCGAATCCAGAGCCCCTGCCACCAAGCTCTTCCAACTCAGCTTGCTCTCCAGGAATAGTTAGGCATTCTCAGAATGAAGCGAGAGGCCAGGGAGTCCTAGTTCCTACTCTATGGGATTCTAAGGACACAGAGGCCACCACCTTCAGCCTGGCTTATAAGGCTACCAATCCCACTCCCAACCTGCCCCACCGCGTTTCCTCTCAGCAACTGTATTTCCAGGGAGGCACTGCCCATGGAAGCCCCACAGATATGCCTGCTGTGGACCAGTCAAGATTTCTTTGTCGCTGCTTTTGCGCATGCTTCAGAGATTTTCCCATTCTCTGTGCCTTGACCCTTCTTTAAATCCTGTTTATGTCTGTCTCTTCCTCTGACAAAGTTTTCTCGGTCACTTCCACTTCCTAATAACTGCTCCTTTGCCTACAACCCTGTGACACTTGTATTTCATCCGAACATAGTCCTTGCTTGTGGGTTTCCCTGTAAATATCCTAAACACCTTTTGTGTATCTGCTCCTCCCCACAGTGCTTCAGAGTACTTTCTCAAGCTGACTCCTTAGCAGGTGCTGCTAGCAGACTGACCTACACCTGCGCTCATTCCCATAGAGGCTGTCTGAATCAATACACAGTGGATTGGCGCTCATTTACCAGGACTGTTTACAAGTGGCAGTGAAATGAAAGGAAAAGCTTAAATGTTAGCTAGTGTTTAAAATCAGTAACACTTCCCATGACCCTGCCAGCTTGTACCACACGTGTGGAGATTTCTCATGTGTCCTAAGGCAACTTCTGCTTTTCAACTCCGCCTCTGACCCTAGCCACCAACCGTCCACGAGAGCCCAAAGCCATTGGAAGGTGTACCAAGAACATCAAGCTTCCCCAAGTCCCTGCTCACACTTAGTGTCGGATCTGGTCTGAGGCCATCAGATCCACATTGTTTATCCTGACCGCTCACTATGGCCCCCTACGTCAAAGGAGAATTAGTACCTTGGACAATTTCCACCACAGAGCCTGATAAATTTACACTTACCTCAACAATTCAGTAAGAAGAAACCATTCTGTACCATCTCTAGGCTGATAAAAACTCACCGTTTCTTAGAGTAGTATATAAAACATAAATCCTGGAAAATGCTACGTTGAATAAAAAGTTTTGCCTAATGTGTCCCCATTTGTATTATTTCTTTTGAAGAGCGAACTGAAGCTATCAAGCCAGTGAAGACACGGGTTACTGACGGAAACGACGTGGCGCTGCGTAACGGTGACTCACCGGATCCATAGGCCCGCAGAGCTCTCGGAAGGTCTTCGCAGGGTTCGTCTGCAGGATCTCCAATGCCACGCAAGGGCCAGAATACATTTCTGTCACTATCTCCTGTGATGCGTAATATAAAATATTAAAAATTAAAGTAAAAAATTATCTTTGGCTTCTTCCCCACCTACAGTCTACCTACCAAGCAGCTCCCAAATTTTGTCCACTTTCCCAACAAAAGTGTCTGTGTTTTCTCATCTCCGTCCCCACCACTGCCACTGTGTGAATGGAATCCTGGACACTCTCACTATCTGAATTCATCTTCTAGTACAACTCCCTTTCACAGGGTCTCTCCTCATGAGCACAGCACTGTTGAAAGTATCTCTGAAGAAATACATTCCAAAGAGTTCCTTCAAAGACATGAGAAACAGCAGGGAGAGGTTTGTCTCCTCATTAAACATTGGGAAAGCAGACCCTCCCGATGGAGCCAAAGTGTTCAGACACTGGTGAAGGGCAGGTCAGTGGTCCCAGAAGGGAAGCGAGCGAGATGAGCTTGCAACTGCCCAGCTCCATGCCTGGAGGCCGTTTCCAGACAGTGGGACAGGGCGTGGGGACAGAGCCAGCATTCTCAGCAGTCTGGGAGACAAAGACGGTGCATGGGGCAGACTGGGCGGGATGAATTATTATACTAGAAGGGGTACAGGAGCCCGGGGAGGGTAACCCAAGGGATCTGCCAAGAACATCACTTGAATTGTTGGCTAAGAGACTGTGTGCGCAGAGGATACAATCCAAAGCTGAGATAAAGAACTCCCAGAAGCATTAGTGGAATGACTCAGAAAGACACATGAAACTGAGAGGGCGGAGTGGCCAGCCCTCATACAACACCGAGGGAATCAGACAGAGTTTGGGGGTAGGGGGCAGGTGAGCTCAGTAAAGGAGCTAGGGCTTCTGGGGCTGAACCAGACCACAGGACAGCAGCAGAGATGGGGCCAGACCAAGCAGGGCCAGGGGCCATTGTTATGGCCTTGCAGGGCTCATGGTACACAATGCCACAGTAAAGTAAGTTACTTGTTACAGGACACCACTGCGATACTAATCTCAATGTAGTCATCATACCAAATAGAAATGTCAGAAGTTGAGAGAGGAGGGAGGGGACGTCATAATTAATATGATCCCCAGAGCCCTGCCCCTGAGGGCCCCTGACTGTATCCCCCAAAGCCACTCTGCTATCCACGAAGGTCCTGTGTGACTGATTGTGGTGGATAATTGGGGTGAGTGTGATTTCCTGTCTCATGCTCCTGAAGTTGTGCCTGCCCTAAATGACAAGAGCCGAGTTCTCAGCAGGGGTAGGTGGGGGCACGGACATGCAGGGCTGAGGAGGGTATGGAGGTCTCACTCATCTCATTGTCAGGAACAGTGAACTTCTTGAAAAAAAAAAAAAGTCAAAACTCTCTCTGACACAGCAGGTCTAATAGGGCAATGTACCAGCACAAATGTGTCTGAGACAATTTGATAGAGAGGGGAAGGAAGCTAACTTTGATGAAATGCCTACTATATGCTATCTTAAGGAACAATTTGGCATACTTGAATATAGTCATTTGTTTCCAAGGGCCCTTTCAGTCTTGTTTCTTCTGTCTCCTCACATTTTCAGATAACTCTACCCACATTTGTGTCATTAAACTAGATGGTGAGTGCTGCTATGAAATTATACAGTCATGTTAAGAACTACTTGCTTTTAACTTCCTAAAGCATTTGGGACAGTCTCCCCCATGAGAATATTATAAACTTCGCAGATAATGTCAAAATGTGTCAATATCCCAGCAATATTTGTCCCCCTTGCATTTTCTGTTTCCAGTGATTCTCAGGGGTAGAATATCGCAGTCACTGAGTATCGTTGACTGTCAGCTGGCAGAATCCTATATACTTTAAAGAATACTTTCCTCATTAAAGATTATCCTGAGATTCCCCAGATGTGAGACATACAAACTGTTTTCAGTACTAATGTTTTACGTTTAGTTTGATACTTACATTATACTCAGACACCACTCCTTTATAAACTTCGTAAAACTCTTCAACGTTAGCCCGATCCATGTTGAACTATATTAAAACACACACACAACACCCAAAACCATAAGTTGATCAAGCAAAGAAAACGAACTACAGTTAAGCACTCAAGATTTATGATCTCTTGGATATATTTTCTTTACTTTAAAATGTAAAGTTTGCATGAATCAAATACTCTTAGAAGAAGGAAGTGTTATCAGAGGCTACGTCATCAATAATAAAATTGTGTAACGATTGGAGTGCTTAATGCGTTAGCATTGGTCCTATCAACGCAACATCTCCTTTGATGCTGTGACCAACCTGCCATGTAAGGGTTGATACCAGTCCCAATTTGCATGAGGCTAAGACTCAGAGGGGCTGTGGAATCCCCACAAACCTGGGTTCCATCTCAACCTGACCTCACTGGTCATGCTCTTTACTACAGAATGACACTTCTCTGAACAAAACTTCATTCCCAGCATAAGAAAGAAACATATAATGCAATGGTGTTTATGGATAAACTAGAGGCCTGGTGCATGAAATTCATGCACAGGTGTGTGTGTGTGTGTGTGTGTGTGTGTGTGTGTGTGTCCCTCAGCCCAGCCTGCACCCTCTCCAATCTGGGACCCCTCAAGGGATGTCCAACTGCCCAGGATTGGGCCTAAATGGGCAGTCGGACATCCCTCTCACAATCCAGAACTGCTGGCTCCCAACCGCTCACCTGCCTGCCAGCCTGATCACTCCTTAACCACTCCCCTGCCAGCCTGAATGACTCCTAACTGTCCTTCCCTACCAGCTCAGTTGCCCTTAACTGCCCTCCCCTGCAGGCCTGGTCACCCCTAAGTGCCCTCCCCTGCAGGCATGGTTGCCCCAAACTGTCCTCTCCTGCTGGCCCTCTCTTGCCAGCCTGGTCGCCCCTAACTGCCCTCCCCTGCTGACCTGGTCACCCTCCACTGCCCTCTCCTGCAGGCTTGGTTGCCCCCAAATGCCCTCCCCTGTAGGCCTAGTTGCCCCCAACTTCCCTCCTCTGCCGGTCTGGTCACCACTAACTGCCCTCCCCTATAGGCCTGATCACCCACAACTGCCCTCCCCTACAGCCCTCTTGGGCAGCCATCTTGTGTCTACATGGGGGCAGCCATCTTTGATCACATGGGGGTGGCCATCTTGTGTGTTGGAGTGATGGTCAATTTGCATATTGCCTCTTTATTATATAGGATTAGTGGCACACACACACAAAAATGATACTAAAGAAAATTACTTCAAATGTTGTTGAGAAGGTTGAACATAAGATTTTCTCCCAAGCATTCTAAAGTCCCTAGTTAGTCTAGCTTATGGTAAAGCACCTGGAATTCCTGCTGCTCTTCAAAAAGGGTTGTAAGATATGTTAAAGATAAGCCTACAAAGACTCATTTCTGTCCAAGCTGCATTCAAATTTAGTTAGAAGTAAAAGTTCATCAAATTTTAGTGTCTCAAAAACTAAGACCTTAAATGTTTTCAGAAATAGTCTCAGACTTTCCAATTTTATTTCCCACCTCTCTCCACTCACTTTGCTTATTGTTGTCAAGACTGATGATTATGGAGAAATTTCTGCCTACTCAGACAATAATTCAAACTAGGGGAATTTATTTTATGAGCAACATAATAATTCAGGGAGGGAATTTTGTTTGGTTTCAGATTATTTTTTTAATCCTATATTCATTCACACAACCTGTACTATTAATATAATAAAGTAGTAACAGAAAATATAATTTATTAAATACCTAGCAATTTGCACTGGAAAGTCCACAATAATTGCAATGGAAATTCTTCCATTAGGTAGAGTAATTTCATTTCATCTACTTAGGCAGACAACAATGGTCTCCTTGCTTAGCTGATAAAACTGAAGATAAGAATAGTTGAGCTCTGGCCTGTGTTATAAGTGGTTAGAGTGTTGGCCAACACACAGAAGGGCCATTGATTCAATTTCCGGTCAAGGGTACACACCTGGGTTGCAGGTCCAATCCCCATATGGGAGGCAACTGACGGATATGCCCCTTTCACATTGATGTTTCTCTCCACCCTTAACCCCCCTCAGCAATTTTTAAAAAGCAATGAAAAAATATCCTCAGGTGAGAATTTAAAAAAAAAAAAAAAGCTTGACATTTGGCTAAGGTCACATCCCTAGAAAGCAACTGACCCGTGACTCATAATCAGATCTTTAGGACTGTGATTGTCACTAAATCACCATGCCTCCCTCACAGGGCCAATGAATCCTTTTAAGATTATTCTATTCTTGTTTTCACTGAGCACCTACAAGGACCAATCACTGAGTTACTTTATGGGTTGATCTAGACAGACTTTGATCAGTGTTTACAGCTAAAATTCCCGCACTGGTTATTTTTTAAGCAGGCTTAGTTCTCACAAATACATTGCCACACTGCGATAAGATTCTTCTAGATAAGATTCTTCAAATACCAACTTCCTCATCAGTCTTCAAGTTTTTGCCTGAACACTTTGCAAACCAGTGGATATTTCTGACCTTCTCTCGGCCTATGGACAGCCCCACCAATCGGATCAGTATTTCACTATCATAACAGCAGAAGCTTGCTGGCCTTCCGTACTGTAACACCACATTGTTTATTGGGTTACGGTAATCATTTGCACCCGATTCCTCCTCAAATGCACTGGTACGTGGAGCACAGAGGCCTGAGCTCCGCAGGAGCGGTGCTGCTTCCTCAGTGAATGGTTTCCTGGACGGGAGCCGGGCAGTCTGCCAGCCGCAGAGGGGCTGAAAGGCGCTGGCTCCTCGAAGGTGCCAGAGGGGAAAGCCAGGAACCAGCACAAGGCCCTGGTCAGGAGAAATCCATCCGAAATGATCTCTTCCCCCACTGCCCTCTGAGTCACAGATCCAAACAACAGAAAAGTCACTATAACTTCTTGCTTAATTCTATCTTTTGTTTGTAAAAATTAAATTCTTTGTTTCAGCCTATATTTGCCAGCAAAGTTCCAGGAACTGCATAAACCTGTGCCAGCTTCACTTAGGTGCACAACTTGACTATTTGTTTTCTCAGTGAAGGATTTGATGGGCAAAATAATTTCAAAAACATTAGTATTATAAGATTACCAAGTTCAGTAACTCTATTATTATTATTATTTTTGTATTTTGGTGCAGAGAAAACTCAGGGTAAAACATCTTAAAACTTATGTAGAAAAAAACAATTCCTCAATAGGTTGTGACTCGTTGCAAAATACGTACCATCTGCATAGCTGAAACCTCAAAGCCTGCGTCTCGGATGGCCATTAGAATCTTTCCCAGCAGTCCTGGAAATACAAAACAAACGCTTGAAAAATGCAAAACTTCTCGGGCATTTCAGTTGCTTAGAAATACAAATTTTCTGCATCAACTTCCTTTCCTTTGCTTACACTCTCTGAGGAAATCACATTTCCGAAGGGACACTGAGCCCCTGAGACAGCCTGCGATGGCCATTCCATCCACTGGGAGGTGAGGGCTCTGGGAACATCGGTGATGACCCTGAAGACAAACCACTTCTAAGAAACTATTTTGCTCTAGGGCCCCTGAAGTCCAGTGATGTAGAAAACATGAAAATCCAACCACTAAAACTAATACTGCAAGAAAATGAAATTCCCAAGTCCTAGGTACACAAAAAGTTCAGAGGAGAGACATCAGGTTATAACTGAGGAGGCAGCAGAAGCTCCGTGGGAGTCTGGGAAAGTGAGCAAGTCCTTATAACAGTGAGATGTCAAAAGGAAAACCAGCTGAAAAGAGAAATGGAACCCAAACGGATGAAGGCCCCGGGCGTCAGCAGGAGGAATGTGTGTAATGGGGTCTGCGAACGCTGCAAGGCTGGGACTGGTTTTCCCATTCCACTCACTTTCTATAAAAATATTCAGATTCTTTAGTTCTTCAAGTCAACTAAAATTCTCTCTCACACACACATTCACACACACCCATTCTCACACTCACACACACCAACTTACACTCACATTCACACACACACTCTCACACACATTCTTATACTCACACACATTCACTCACACTCATACACACCCACTAACACTCACATTCACACACACCCATTCTCACACTCACACACACCAACTCACACTCACATTCACACACACACTCTCACACACATTCTTATACTCACACACATTCACTCACACACACCCACTAACACTCACATTCACACACACACACTCTCACACACATTCTTATACTCATACACATTCACTCACACACACCCACTAACACATTCACACACACACACTCTCACACACATTCTTATACTCATACACATTCACTCACACTCATACACACCCACTAACACTCACATTCACACACACACACACACACACACACACACACTCTCTCACATTCTTATACTCATACACATTCACTCACACACACCCACTAACACATTCACACACACACACTCTCACACACATTCTTATACTCACACACATTCACTCACACTCATACACACCCACTAACACTCACACACACATTCCCATACACACACACACACTCATCATATTCTAGGTCATCTGGGTGTTCACCCAGTCATCCCAAATTACCAATAAGAACCAGTGTCTGGATGTGCATCTTATTTAGGTTACTGTTATTGCAGCCAAGCAGTGCTATTTTCCTTGTAGAAGGGTGAGGGATAAAAAATAAAAATAAAAAACAATGCCATCTATTTCTCAAATGACACATCGGTATCACATGAATGCCAAATGACATCATAGCACACTGTACAGACAAAAGCTGTGCAGAAGTCTGAGCATGTACCAGGCTCATGTAAAACTCTGAACAGTCTGACCTTCATGGTTAGTTTTGGCAAACATATATATATATTTAAAAGCCAAGCCACCGGGAAGACAGAATGACCAAAACGACCAGAACAACGAGTCGCTATGACACGCACTGCAGCACCCAATGGGCAGGATCAGGGCCTTATTTGCCCCGGCAATGTCCCTCCCCCACAGCCAGCCCCTCCCCCACAGCCAGCTCTGCCCCTGATTGGCTTTCCCTACCCCAATTGGGGTGGGGTCAGTAGCCAACCACCCGAGGCCCTTCCTCCTAGCCGGCCCAGCCTTGATCAGCCCCAATTGGGGTGGGATGGCTGGACCCCACCCATGCACCAATTCATGTACTGGGCCTCTAGTCACATTATAAATTTTATCCATTAAATAGCTTTGTTTGTACCAAATTTATAAAATTGTTTTAAACAGTTATACATGAAAAAGTTCATATTTAGCTTTATATTTGGAGATATTTGTGTTGCATTATAAGTAAAATAATTTATTTAACACTGGGAATACATTTTTCCTTCAAAAGGAAACCCTGCCTGGTGTGGCTCAGTATTGAGCTTTGACCTATGAACCAGGAGGTGACTCAATCCCCAGTAGGTGGGTGCAGGCGGCAGCCAATGGATTATCCTCTCTCATCATTGATGTTTCTATCTCTCATTCCCTGTCTCTTCCTCTGTGAAGTCAATATAAATAAATTTTTTAAAAAATTTAATATATAAAATAAAAGGAAACCTTGCCAAAAGCAATGGAGACTCCCAGAAAGCCTGAGCTGGACAACATGGGACAGAAGGGACGTGTTCTAGGAAGGTTACTAAGGCAACAATGATGGGGCAGCTGATCTGAGGGAAGGAAGAAAGGACAGAAGAAGGCTCTGACATGATCAGCATGCCAACTGGGTTCGGGTGGCAGCAGCAGAGAAGGAAAGAAGGAGTAGAAGATGTTGCCAAACAAATGTAACAGGATGAACCTCGACAGACTGAAGAGGAAGGAGGAAGGTTTTGAGTCTAAGTGACTGGCAGAATGTGGCACTTTAAAGAAAAACAAGAACAAATGAAGGAAAAAGACAATGAGTTATTCTGAACATAGAGACAGAATTTTAGAGCAGGACACAGACAGGTACTTGAGGACAGAGCTTGGCCAGTGGCTGAAGAAGATCACTGAGTTGTGAAGGAATGAAGTCCCTGGGATTTGGGGTACAGGTGCCATCCAACGGACAGAGATATAATGAGGTGCAGAGAGGTTAGAGCTGAAATGATGAGAATAAAGAACTTTTTGTTTGACAAAAAGAAGGGCAAAGGCAAAAAAGAGCTTTGAGTTTTAAAGTTTGGGAATTGAAGAATGAAAATGAATAAAGACACATGAAGGAGACATGCAAGAGAATAAAGATACTATTATACTATGATATGACAGCAGTATCCCAGCGTCAAATGGAGCGGGAGTTCTTAGAATAGAGGGACAGTTAAGGCTTAACGGAGAATAAGGACCCTGGGAACAGAGATAACATATAATTTCAAACCTCTCCCATGAACTTTTTACCCTGGGAGACAAAACCCACTGGTCTCTTGTACTCTGAATGAACCGTTCACTCCTGTGTGATTGCCTAACCTCACACCTTGATCATTTAGGAAATGTGAGCTCACTGAGTTACGCAGTCTTCAAAATGCTGACTCATTCCCTGGGGCCACACTGAAAAGATCACCTCCAATAACACCACCACCCATTCCATCAGCCCAGTCTTCAGGCCCGGGGAGCTGTCAGGCTCAAGGTGATGAGTAATTTTCCAAGATTCTTGGAACTTTATCATCACTTGGGTCTTTGCCTTGGGCAACAACTGTTGTCAGCTGCCAAGTCTTTGCAATGACAGGGTTACTTAATTTTTAAAAGAGTTAAGTTGCAAACTGGGGATATTTCTGGGGTGGCTATCGGTCTTGCAGGTAAACGTGGGACTCCTAAAAAGGCCCCTCGTTGAGTTCACAATTCAACGGTACAAGTGCTTCTCGTAATGACAAGGCTGTATGTGAGTGTGGAGCACAAGTGCCCTGGGTGGACTGCCCTTAGTTCACACGGAGTATGAGCAAGACCTGGACCTGAGGGTCAAAAATTACTCCCATTGCTGCATCGAGGGCATTCTTACATAAGAGGGGTGTTTCCCTGCAGCACCTGACAGTTAAGCATGCGTGGACTCTTGATTTGTGTGAAGGCAGTCTCCCCGGCCACTGCCCTTGCACCATCTGTGCAAATGTCAACACATTTAAACAGGCAAATAAATCATAGGGTCCCGAGCTTTCCTACTGTCCACAGCATGGTATTTTACTATGACTGCACTCACATGTGGGATATAAAGCTAAAAACAACAATGAACACATAAGGCAAACAAACAAAAACTCATAGACGCAGACAACAGTATTGGGATCACCAGAGGGAAGAGGGGCGGGGTGGGCTAAGGGTAAAGGGGGTCAAATATATGGTGATGGAAAGAGACTTGACTCTGATGTATCATTGAAACCTATATATATAATGTAATTAACCAATGCTCCCCCCGATAAACTTAATTTTTAAGAAGGCAAATATAAACAAACTCTTGACCTCATGGATAGGTCTTATTTATTTTGATAAAGAAAATGCTTTACATGACTACTTAAGAATCCTGATCTAAGTATGAAAGCAGTATTAAGCCTTCTGCATTAACCAATTCGAAAGGAAATCACAATCTACACCTGTTACAAGTCCGTAACCTCATTAAACCAGCCCTGCAGAATGTACCGGTGACAGAACAATTCCATTCACAGATAAACCAATGAAAAGTTCTAGGCCCGCAGCACTGCCTCTGCCCAGCAGCCAGACAGAGGCAAGGACATTGCTTTTAATTATGTGGTTACGTGTGGAGGCAGGACAGAGAGGACCTAAGAAACCCGTCCTGTGTTTAGCAGCCTGAAAAGACAATCTGTCAATAACCACATGTCCTTTCCTTTGGCCTAGATAGGAAATGGTCAGGTGACTGAAAAAATGACCAATAACTATGCAAATGAAGTTAAAATGCAAAACTGCCTGAGGACACAGGCTGGAAGGGCACGCAAGGCGGAGGCTGCCTCCCGGCGGTGTGCGCACAGCCAGCCGGTGCCCTGGTCTGCCGGTAACTCTGTGAATTATCTCTCCGCTGCTTTGAATGCCAATCACCTCTCCATCTCCATATCCTGTGCGTCAGTTCACAGCCTCCTAGTCCTCGCTGGGATGGTTTGAAGGCCTCCAAGTGGCCCCCTGTATCCAACCATTAACACTGTCTTTCTGAAAACTCTTGCTTCTCCCGGGACTAGGAGGGCTCCTCCCCCTCCTACCCCCCCAGCCTAAAACCCCCATCCTCTTTGACTAGAAAGGAAGCTGCCACCCGTCCTGATTTGTCTCAGGGGTTGAGTGTCGACCTATGAACCAAGAAGTCACAGGCTCAATTCCTGTTCAGGGTACATGCCCAAGTTGTAGGCTCAATTCCA